TTAGGGGATTTGGGTTTAGGGGTTTAAGGTTTAGGATTTAGGGGATTTGGGTTTAGGGGTTTAGGGTTCAGGATTAGCGCAGTGCGCCGTGGGCTGGAGAGTGATACATTATGGCAGGTAGGGGAAGCAACAGATCGCGGCAGCAACGCCGCGGAGAAACCATCTCCAATTGTAGCAGCCTTTTTGACAGGAAAGGCTTCCTCATCGCCATTGACATCGACACCGGGACCGAAAGGTGCAGGGCTCAAAATCCAGTGCGGCGAAAGCATGATGGTTGGGCCCAAAATCACAATGGAGAGCACACTTTGGGATGGGTGTAACGATCAACATGGCGTGAGTGATTAATGTTTATTCCTCATGGCTCCATACTGCAATAAAACAGCACAGAGATAACCCCAGCCCTATTTCAGTGATTAAGGCACCAAGAATATCGGGCCGGTAGAGCAATGATCAAAACTCCCGCGGCGGTTCCGGTTTGGAAGATCAGCGTTCGAAACCATTCATATAGAACCTTCGTAAAGCATGATTACGCCCTAGATATGTTTTGAAAACACCCCACCAGTATCCTGAATGTGCTTTCACAGATCGTTAAATCAAATCCGAATAATGCCCAAAAACCAAACACAAATCTCACAGACGTTCCCAACCCAACTCCTTCTTTAGACTCGAAGTGGGCGCATAACAATCCCGACAAAGTCGGAAAGATGTTCCCAACACGCAGAGAGCCCAATGCCACTTAATTTCGGAATATAGCTTAAACCATAAATATGGAGCCTCTTTTTGCTTAAGGTATATTCCCCTAAACCCTAAACCCGTTAAAGGAAGCCTGTTATCCGTAGAGGCCCCTTGTTAAAGGAACCCTGCATTGAGGTATTAGGCTTTCTGGATGTCCAACATGTGAGGTGGGCGAGGAAGATCACGGAGCAGGTGGCCACAGCCACAGACTGCGCTTTGCTGACACAGGGGCTCTTGGGCTGTTCATCAGTGGTGCGGTAGGGTGTATGCGTGTGTCTTTCTAGGGGGTGTTGTATGGGGCTTTACGAAATTTCACCGAATGAACGTAAGGTTACGGGGCGTTTTGTAGGGTGGGCCACCCTCTTACTGGAAAGCCTAACTCCTACACCTGCAATCCCAGAAAAACCTATAGTCCCCACGAAAACAAGCTGCCCGCACAAAAATCCTTCATCTTATTGTAGGTAGGCGCCTTGGGGCCTACTAAGGGCCTGTTAGGGCTTAGGGTTTGCTCAAGGCATAGGGTTTTACGGTTAAGGGTTTTACTAGGGTTTCGGAGGTTCAGGGTTTACTGTTTTCTGGCTTAGGGTTTAGGGCTTAAGTTTTTTAGTGTTTAGGATTTTTTCGAACGTTATTCCAAAGCTTTAAAGGGCCAACCCGATATTTCATCTCCCTGAAAACTATAGACAAGAAAAGCGACGATCCTATTTCAAACCCCTACAGACCATTACTATAATTTACGCTGCATGCCGTTTCAATATCTTCAAAGGTGGTTTGGCCGGATTTCCATTTCGGAGAAAGGCATGCGAAGGCCGAAGCCACAGCATAAAAAGAATTACGCTCGTATTCCTTCAGGTTCCCTTTTGCGTTTGAAATATCACTTACCAAAGCCATATTCTAACCATGCAGGATTATCCTATAAACCCTAAACCCTCAACAAGAAAATCCTTTCAGGTGGCATTCCAGGAGCCTTGAAGCTTCGGGCATATGGGTAGTTCTCTAAATTAGGGTCTCTTTTCAAGTTCCAATACAGTATGGGATCCTTAAAAAAAGGACCCTAAGAGGGACCCTGATGTAGAGAACTACCCACATAGAACCCTTATAAAAGCCCTAAAGAGACCCTTATAGATCCCTTTAAGGACCCTAAAAGGGACCCTGATTTAGAGAACTACCCCCACGATATAGAAGCCGGAAGAGTTACCAATGCTGTGCGTTAGGCTTCCTTGGTAGAATTATCCTTGTCTACACCCCCAAGGCTTTCTCAAATTGTGGAGGCCCCTATATATGTATGTATATATATATATACATATATAGAGAGAGAGAGGGAAAGAGAGAGAGAGAGAGAGAGCGAGAGAGAGAGGGAAAGAGAGAGAGTTTTCGGGACTTAAGGGATCCGGAGATTGTATCTCTAGGGTATCTACACCAATATTTAGTTATGACCCCAGTTAAGATACGTATAAGCATACCAAGTCCCGTGATCTTTTCGGGAAACACAGTTTAGGGTGAGGTGTCGGGCTTGTGGGGCCCAGGGCCGTGAATGAGACCCGCTGCCCCCTGCAACATGAATGTCAACAACGCACAGAACCTGACAAGTTGAAGGTGCACGCTTTTTCGCATGTACAGCAGAATAACTCTTTAAGAAGATGGCCCGTGAAGCCATAAACCATGAACTCCTTTAAGGAATTCGGGTTGAGGGTTTCCTAAAACCCTAATAAGAGTCCAAAACGAAAGCCCTACGCCCAGGCTCATCATCGTTTCAGTCATGGACCCTGTGCCGCTGGTGCCACAGCCGGAGATCGAGAACAGCCGGCTCATGGCGTTGAGACCTGGGTATTTTATGTGCAGGGCTCGGAAACACCATTGCCCCATATAGCTATAGATACTTCCGAATACCCCAGAACCCTCTACGGTCATTTCAGGCCGTGATAAAGCCGAATAAACTGGTTTCATTGCATAAAATCCCATGTCGTTTCTGCGTCACATGGCAGAAGTCTCCAATTCTCAACCCTAAACTCCAATAGTAACTGCAACACGTCTAGTCTAGTCAAAGTAGGTACCACAGCAATGATAAGAGCAAAAAGAATAATCATCATAATAAAATGGTTAACCTAACCAATCGTACTGCTATTATGAAGAAGAAGGCTGATAGTTATTGGTATTATGTTGGTACGATTAGCAGTAGCTTGTGTTAGTATTATTGTGTTTTTGTAATTATCATTGTTATTTTCTGTTATTACTATTATCACAATAAGCCCTAAACCCTGCCCGAGCCCAGGAGCATCGAAGACGGATCTTTCCGCTGGTCGTTCGCTCCATACCGTCCCACGTTCAATTTCCAAGCTGCGACGGTCCACGACGGCAGCTTCGTGTTTCAGGACGAGGGCTTGAATTTTAGGTGTCTAGGCTGTCGGGTTTAAGCATTCGGTTAATTGAGCCCTAAATCCTCGGGTCCTTCGGCAGCATTGCATTGACGTTGCACCCGAGTGGCCTGCCCACAGCTTCACATTGGAAGTTCGTAATTAGTTGCATAGTGGTAAATGGTAACGCGACCAAGACACAAGGTTTTCAGGCAAACCTTTTTGTAGCTACTGTTTCGTTCCTTGATCTGTCCTCATGTCCTGTGGCAATCGTGTTGTTGCTGCACCAGGAAGTTCTAGTTGATTTTCGCCCAAACAGTCGGAAATGCTGCTGAAGGACCGGACGGGAGGCGTCTATCGTTTGTCCACAGATGGCAAGCTCCTCTGGTATGCCAAGACGCCGGACAGGGAGTCGTCGACCACTGCGGCAGTTGTACTACACGACGGGCGTGTCTTCGCCGTCAGCAACTGGGCTCTTGGTTAGAAATTTAATTTAAGTTATCAGAATACAGAAACGCTATTATTTACCATACAGAATAATCATCTACCAGAATAAAGAAACTCTACTAAGTATTACAGATCCCCATTATGGTAGCTTTAATTAAGCTCCTTTGCCTTAACTCCCCCGCAAAAGTATGGCAGCCTTAATTGGGTTCCTTGCCCAATCCCCCTATAGAACCCTGAAAGGAACCAAATTATGGTAGCTTTAATCGAGTTCCTTTGCAAGAGCACAGGCAATGCTGGCAAGCAGCCCGCTGGGCTTTTGCATGTCTACGACTATGAAGAAGGCCAGCACCTCTGGACCCAGGACTTGGGTAACGGTTGAGGGTTTAGGGTTCAGGGTTGAGGGCTCAGGGTAAATCGCGGGCGCATGGGGGTGAGGGTAGATTGGGGGTGTATGGGCTGTGGCTGTATGCCAGGAACTCCCCCATGAGGCAGTTCGGGCAAGACCTCGTTGATCCTCATGTTGGCCGATAGTAGAACTTTGTCTTGCCCTACGGCTTCTCATCAAAATGTTCTAGGCCCTTCTAAACCCTAAGGTTTAGGGTTTTCTTCGCTGCGTAAAAGGATTCTCGGCATGGGCAAGAATCCAGGGCTGCCTCTCATCGCGAGAGTTGCACTATCCCTCCCGACGATCGTGGTCCCGCTGTTCTGGCCATTCCACTTGCTGAGCCTGTCCTTCCCGTCTGTCTTCGCGAAGAAGGAAGGGCGGGCGATCTTCGCCGTGGATGCTGCGACTGGTGCGGTTCGCTGGTATCACGAGAGCTTGGGCACTACTTAAACCTTGAACCTACAACGTTGGACTTGAGCTAGGACCAGCAGGGAAACATTGCGATCTTCCGGCACAGACTGGCAGAAGGGAGCACATCGGTGGACAAACATGGTCAGTCCAGAACATTGTCGGAATCCTTTCGTCTAGTCCTGGAAACCCAACGGCGCCGGTGTCATAGCTAGTGCGCATGTGTGCAAAGCAGCGCAGTGCAGTGCAGTGCGCGTACTGCAATGTATTGCAAGTGCTGTAATGTGGTGTAATTGTAATGTAGTGTAGTTGTAAAGTACTGTACCGCGCAGTACTGCAGTGTAAGGGAAGGCAATGCAGTGGCATGGGACGGAATGGAATGGAATGGAGCCGAATGTATGTATGTATGTATGTATGTATGTATGTATGTCCGTATGTATGTCTGTATGTATGTATGTATGCATGCATGCACGGGTGTATGTGTGTATGTATGTATGTATGTATGTATGTATGTACGTACGTATGTATGTATGTATGTATGTATGTATGTATATGTATGTGTATGTGTATGTGTATGTGTATGTGTATGTGTTATGTGTATGTGCATGTGCATGTGCATGTGCATGTGCATGTGCATGTGTATGTGTATGTGTATGTGTATGCGTATGTATGTGTATGTGTATGTGTATGTGTATGTGTATGTGTATGTGTATGTGTATGTGTATGTGTACATGTATGTGTATGTGTATGTGTATGCTTATGTGTGTCTGTCTCTCTGTATGTAACGGTGTG